TGGGGTCGGGGCCCGGGCGGGGGCGACGGGCGGCTCCGGAGCGCGGGGACACGGCGGGACCGGCGGGAGCCGAGGCGGTGGCTCCGCTCAGCGGCACCGGGGAGAAAGGCAGCGGGGGCTGCCACCGCCACCGCCCCCCGGCCCTCACCGGAGCTCCCCTCGGGGGAGGGGTCTCCCCCCGGGGACCCCCGCCCGGTGCCGGTGGCCCTGACCCCGCCGTCCTCACCCCCCCCGAACCCCGGGGGGACGCTCAGCTCCGCGGCCCCGGGGCACCCACCGGGACGGTTCCCCTGCAGCCGGGGGGGGTTCCCATTCGGGGGGGGCTGGGGTCAGGCCGGGGCGCTGCCGCATGTGCCGGAGCCTTCCACGGGCCAAGAGCCGGATCCGGTTTTGGCTTCGGACGGAGCAGCGCAGAAATCCCCCGCGGCCGGTGCCAGGTCCGGCAGCTGCGACGGGCTGTTTCCTCCCGCCCGCCCTCTTTGTGCCGGGAACTTTTGACCCCCTTTTATAAACCGAATATTTAAAAACACTTGGCCTACGCTGCGGAAACCCCCCCGGCTTCCCCTGCGCTGCCCCTTCCTGCCCCCCCCGCCTCCCCAAAGCTGCACATAAAAGCGAGTCCCGGCCCCGGCCCCGGCCGAGCAGCGTCGGCCCCACAGAGCCCACGGACCCCACAGCCGGGCAGAGGCACCGCCGGGCTCCACGGCAGCCATGGGGCTGAGTCCCACTCCCGTCCTTGTCCTCGCTCTGCTCCTGCTGCTGGGGGCCATGGTGAACGGTGAGCAAACCCCCCCAGGGGATGGGGACAGGTTGGGGCAGTGACATCCCCAGCACAGAGAGGGGGGGGGTCCTGCCCAGCCCCCCAATTCCTGCCTCTGTTGGCAGCCAGGGCTGCAGTGGGCTATGGGGAGGGGTCCAGGGATGCCGGGGGGACCACTGGGGTGACCCTCCCCAGGCGATGCCCACCTCACCCGGCCTCTCTCTTTCCCGTGTGACAGGGCAGCCCCGGGGACGCATCCTGGGGGGCTACGAGGCCAAGCCCCACCTGAGGCCCTACATGGCCTCGCTGCAGCTGGACGGGCAGCACGTCTGCGGGGGCTTCCTCATCGCTGAGCAGTGGGTGCTGAGCGCTGCCCACTGCACCGAGGAGACGTGAGTGCTGGGGGCGAGGGGGGGGTCAGCACAGGGGCTGCTCCGTGCTGGGGGGGCTGATGGCCTCAGGCCACATCCTTCTCCAGAGCCCCGACCCCAGCATCGGGGCCCCGGTGACACCCTAGGAGGTCCCAGCACCCCACGGAGGGGTCTCTGTCACCCCATTTCCCTGGCTGGGTGCAGTGACACCCCCAGCTCCGCGTGCCCCACGGGGTGGGCAGAGCCCCCGTGCCCCACGCGCTGCCTCTCTTCCAGGGATGGCAGAGTCTTCCAGGTGCTCCTGGGCGCTCACTCCCTCATGGAGCCGGAGCCCCACAAACGCCTGTACCGGGTGCGCGCCCAGTTCCCCCACCCCGGCAGCAACATCCACAACAACAAGGACGACCTCCTCCTCCTCCAGGTGGGCTTGGGGACGCCGGGACCCTCCTCCTCCTTGTAAATCCCTCTGCCCCTTGGGACCCCCCCCAGGGTCACTGAATGCGGTGGTGTTGCTGAAGGTCACCATGTTCTCCTTGCCCATGGGGCTGCGGGGGGCCAGCAGGTCCACGTCCACGCTGGCCCGCTTCAGGCTGCCCAGGGAGTTCTTCTCCCGCGGCACCGGCCGCGCCGCCTCCTCCAGCCGCGTCTGGGGGTTCAGCTCGTCGGTGCTCACCGACTTGTTCTGGTGGTAGACAGAGTCGTGGCCCCGCTGCGTCAGTGCCCGCAGCGCGTCCTTGGCTGGCGCCGGCACCGGGACCCTCTCCGTTGGGGCTCGGAAGTTGCCAACAGCGTGGTAAGCCTGAGGAGAGGGGACGGGGGGTCAGCACAGCTCTGCACCCAGCATCCTTCCCCCCCCGAGCCCCTGCAGCCACCCGAGGGCAGGGACTGGCACCCACCAGGTAGGCAGCGATGCCGGAGCCGATGAGGAAGCCCACGTAGACGTCGGCGGGGTGGCTGCGGTACTGGGTGATCTGGGTCAGGCCGCAGATGCCGGCGGCGATGGCGAAGGCGAAGACCAGGATGGGCTTGAGGAGCTTGGTGCTGTCCGAGATGATGGAGTTGAAATACATCTGGCGATAGCGATGGTGATGGGGTGTTAGTCACGGCTCGTGGCACCCGCTGCCACCACGGCACCACGGCCTCCCCCTCCCCGGCCCCCGGCTGTGCACAGAGTTCTAGGGGGGCACATGGAACTGCAAGTGCATGGGTGTGAACGCACCCACACCTCGACACAGCACACGTGTGTCCGGCAGAGCTTGTCTGTGCACGGGAAGGGGGGTGCTGACAGGAGGGGGACGCTGCTGCCCAGCGGCACGGAGCTGGCACAGCCCCCAGAGCTGGCACAGCCCCCCGAGCCGGCACACACCGAGCAGTGCCGAGAACTCACCGACACGTAGACGGCAGCGAAAGCGGAGAGCGTGGCGTGCTGGGACGGGAACGTCTTCCTGCGGGGAGATGGGGGGCACGGTTGGGATGGGGCAGGGGGGTGGCATTGTGGCGTGGGTCTCACCGCCCCCAGCACGTACCTGGCGGAGAGGATGGCGTGCTTGTCCGTGCCCGAGCAGATGTCCTGGGTGATGTAGGGGTTGGCGTCGCAGGGGGTGCCCAGCAGCGTGTAGTTGGGCTTGCAGACGGTCAGGAAGAAGGGCGCGTGGTAGCCCGTGGCCAGTTGGATAACGTCTGTCACCAGGGCCGTGGCACAGAGCCCGAACACGTGGACGCCTGGGGAGGGCAGGAGCAGGGCAGTGGGTCACTCCTGTCCCACACAGGGCTCCCAGGGACCACCCAGCCTGGGGGCACCAAAGCCGCTGGGAAGGGTCCAAGCGCGGTGGCCGGGGCCTGGGAGGGACATTCACTCCTGCTGTCGCACCCAGGGTGCCCCCGCGTCCCCTTCACACCTGGGACTCTCAAACCAGCTCCTGCAGTGGGCAGAGCTCCTGCCCACTGTGGCACAACGTACCCACAAACCTTACGGTGCGGCGCAGGAAGGAGTTGAAGTTGCAGCCGCCGGCGTTGATGCTGCCCTCGGCTCCGGCGCGTCCCTTCAGCCGGGACTGCAGGCAGTACACGATGCCCTCCCCGACCATGATCTGGGGAGGAACCGGTGGCTCAGGGGGTGCCAGTGGTGCCACCACGTTGATTCAGGGCACTGCCAGGCTCCCCGCACCCGTCCCCTGGTGCTGCTGGCACTGGGACCCCGAGCCCCAGCTCCATCCTCATTCCCCCCAGCAGGATGAGCCCTGGGACGCACCGAGGCGGCGGGGGCGGCGAAGGCCAGGCTGAGCAGCATGAGCAGCGGGATGAGCTCCTCATTGGTCTCCACGTAGGGCATGGAGAGTGCCCGGTCGTAGCACTGGAAGCCCACCTTGGCCGGCTTGAAGAGGTCCGTCAGCTCCAGGAAGTAGAGTGTCACGATGGAGGAGGCCACGATGGGCAGCTGGAGGGGTGAGAGTGTGGGGACCATCGTGCCACCCACAACGATGGGCACCGGCACCGCGGAGCCCCACCGGGAAGGGGCAAAGCCCCCAACCCCTCCATGCCAGGGCAGGACCAGGGCCTGGGGCTGGACCCCCCGGCTCAGTCCCTCACCTCCAGCCCCCCACCCCCACACACCCACCTCCACGAAGTAGAAGCAGGGCAGGAGCGTCATGCTGTCCTTGGGAGCCCTGGCCTTCTCCTTGGGGGGGATCATGGTCCTGGGGCTGGCGCCGGGGTCCCACCGGGCTGCACCTCCACCCTGACGTGGGGCAGCATCGTCACCCCCGGCTCTCGGCCCTACTGGGGGGGCGGGCAGCCCCCGTGCTCACCTCGCTGCCCCCCTGCAGCTGCTCGGCGAGGAGAAGCTGCTGGTACCCGGGGGGGCCCCCACCGGGAACCCCCAGGCATCACCGGGGGGGGGGG